TGATTTCACCGTTTCATCCAGTCATAAAGTTTTTAGTTCATAGCAGACTGATAACATGAAGTTCAGCCATAGAAGGAATATTGACTTTGCAAGGTTATTGTAAAGGAGGGGCGGCCGGGTAGCTGAGTGGTTAAAGCGTTCTCTCGTCACGACGAAGACCCGGGTTCGATTCCCGACATGGGTACAATGAGTGAAGCCCATTTCTGGTGTTCCCCGCCGTGACATTGCTGGAATATTGCTAAAAGCGGCGTAAAACCATACTCACTCACTCACTCAGTATTGTAAAGGAGGGTGCAGGACCACTAGCATAGACTAGGATAATCGTAGTGCTAAGATGGCTTTGTGCATGTGGGCCCAGATCTGTCACCCCAAGCTGACACCTCTCTGTCGTCTCATATCTGAGGGAGGAATCAAAGTAACAGATCTGAATTGACGAGGCTGCACCCATGGAATGCATTTACTGGAGGAGGGTATTATATGGGGGTGGTGTTACATGGGGATGGTATTATATGGGGGTGGTATTACTCGTGTTCTGTACAGTTGTTGTTTTGTGGAGGCGATCTGCCTGGTTTTGTTTTCAACAAATAAAATGGCTTAGAGCGGTGTCAGGTATTACCGAACAATTGGTTTAATGTATTAGCAAAATAAGTTCTTAGATCTAGAATTGTTCACAATCACTTCTTTTAAAGTTTGAAGTTCTCAAATTTTCAAGATGTGGTTAGTATGATAAAACTTCACATATACAGATTAAGTGCAATTGTTGAGATTAGGTATCTTTGAATCACACCATACTAGTTTCTAAAATACATGTGTATGGAGCAAGGTCATACGTTGTAAATAAATCATGATTTCAAGACAAACAGATCTAGATATCGAAATCCATGAGCTTTGTCATTACAATGTGGATTTGAAGACAGCCCTGGGGTCTAGTGTCGAGTGAGAGCAGCCTGGGTGTGTTTGTGTCATTGTGTTGAGCACAAGTAGCCTGTGAGAACATTGTGTTATATGTAAGGTGTACATATTTGTGCAATATTTGCTACAGTGTCAGCTTTTGCTACAATCTGAATAACATGTATCTTAACATAAAGTATTACCTCTAGTTACTTCTGGTCAAACTGTTGAAATATTACGCATTTAGCTGTTATGGATCATTGAAGTATTGAGATTCAGAATATTCGACAGGGAATGTTTTCTTTAAACACTAGACGAGCCACTAGGTTCTGGTTTTCCCACCACACTATGTTGACTGGAGTGTACGTAGATCTTGGTGCCACAGTTGTTAGATCTATAGCTATACGGTAACACAACTTTCATCTTCCAGATGGGCAGGGCACAGTTGTTGAAATGTAAATCATCAATTAATATTGATTTCAATATATCATAATTATTCAAAGATTACATATAGTCATATACACCTGTCTATGAATTTGTCTATGTAGGGTAATCATTAGTATCTTTACCTCCTCTATTGAGCTGGCAGATACACACATGGGTTTTGAATGACTTGCTTGTCACAGACGTATTCTGCGGTACCGCAATTGCAGACAGATTTATAGAAAATGAAACTCAGAACAGAATTGCATAAACATGATAAAGGCTGCAGAATTTAATCAATACATTCATTTTATGGTCATATTTTTACTACACAATTTTGTCATTTTAGCAAAAGAACATTGACAATTATATTGCAGAATTCGTCTGGGACTGACTTGTGTCGAACTTGCAAACTGGCAAAATTTTTAACTCTCTTAAAGATGATGTAACAGCATCATCACGCCGATGTAGGCTCTTTCCCTGCCTCAAACAACGAACAAAATAAATAAAATGACTTGCCTCAAACTATGGATAATTATAGTTGTCATTGTCTCCAGCATGTACCAGCTAAAGGAAGCCATTAAACAATTCCCAAGGGCTGGAAGACCTATAAATAATGTGACCTAGAAACACCTCATTCTTTTACATCACTACAGCTAACATATCATGCTACGACTGATGAACTATAGTGATGTGAGGAAATGGTCTGTTATTTAACTAATTTGGAGTAGTATATGTCAGTGAAATTCCCTTTCTGCACGACACCAGACAAACTAGCTAATGTGTAGAGGAAAACTGATGCTGAAAAGTAGTGTGACAACATAAGTCATGATGAGGGATGTGCAGCCCTTGGAATTAGTGCTTGATGGCTACCTTTAAGAGGATTGTCTGCACCTACATGTCTATTTGGGTCCTTCCTTGTAATACTTGTACAGTACAGCAAGTTGTTTCTTCGGATGTGTGTTTGTTGTAGCGTTGCCGCTTCTCTGCTCATGCTCTAAGTGTATTTGCACCTTGATGGTGGAGAGCTACAGGGACCATCCTCGATGTGACAGTGTACGATAGTGCTCATGCTGACTGACAGTTGTACACACACTGGGTCATGTAGGTCTAAGTATCTATGCAAGTTCCCTCAACCCTGTTACAGTGTAGTGGTGTGTGGAAACAGGAATAAAATGTCCAATAAATGCAGAAGTGTTTGTTCTTTGTATCCTGTAAACCATTAAATTAGTGTGGCACCAATTTAATGCAAGTGTTGATCCCTGGCCTAAAATGGGCCCTGAACTGATTATTATACCCCTGACCCAAGAGGCTGGGGGTATATAGTTATACCAAGGAACTCTGTCCTTCTGAGCACATTTCTTTTTGGGTGACCTATATCTTGAAAACGACTGCAAAGATTCTTTTCAAACTTGAACACTTTTTATACCAATAGAGGTGCAGTGTGAGGTTTGATTTCAATATTTGGATTTTCTGGAAAAAATAGGTATTTTTCACTTTTTTGTCTTAGCATTTTTTTACTTACACATTTGTATGACCTTTTACTACTACATGTAGTCTGTTCAAATTTAGGGAACAGTTTCCAAGATAATAAAAGAGGTGCAGTGCAAACATGGCAAAGTTTGATTTTGATATGTGAATTTTTAAGTGTTTTTTCTTATTTGCTTCAACATTTGACCTTGCAACCTTGACTTGAGAACTACAATCTTTTTAAATTTAAGGAACACTTTCTATACTAATAAGAGAGGTGACCATTTGTGTGACCTTCAACTTAAAAACTCGAAAGGTTGCACGGGAATCACGCACGCACGATTCGCCAACGCTAACACCATAATCGTGCGTGCGTGATTCCCGTGCAACCTTTCGAGTTGAGTTGATTGGTTTTTATTCATGCACCGATTGTCTTTAAATGTAACATCCAGTTATGTATGACTGTTTACTAATCTCATACCAACTTTGACTCGAGTAGGTCCGATAGTTTTTTAGATATTGTAGTAAACGTTGGTACCTTACATTACCTTCCAATGAAGGCCAATTTAGGGGATGGTCCATGGTCTACTGACTACAGCCTGTGCCAAGGTCGGTGGTTCCCTGCAGTATGGTACATGTACTTGTTACACCTGGTGCTCGACACTGAGGGCATCAAGAAAGGACTGGTCGGCTCAGAGACTTGTTACACCTGGTGCTTGGCACTAAGGGCATACAGAAAGGACTGGTCAGCTCAGAGACTTGTTACACCTGGTGTTTGGCACTAAGGGCAGGCATCAAGAAAGGACTGGTCGGCTCAGAGTCTTGTTACACCTGGTCCTCGGCACTAAGGGCATCAAGAAAGGACTGGTCTTCTCAGAGTCTTGTTACACCTGGTGCTTGGCACTAAGGGCATAAAGCAAGGACTGGTCGGCTCAGAGACTTGTTACACCTGGTCCTCGGGACTAAGGGCATAAAGAAAGGACTGTTCGGCTCAAAGTCTTGTTACACACAAGCAACCAAGACACCTAGCCTGACCACCTGATCTAATTAGTCACCTCATACGAAAAGCATAGGTTGCTGGGGCCTCAATTCTTACCCAGAATTCCTACTGGGCACAGTTGACGGGAGGAAGGCTACAGAGCATGGTTCTATGTTCTGATGAAGTATAAAAGTCAGTATAAAGTGTGAGATTCATCATTCAAGATCAGCTGGTACAAACAGATGGTGGTAGTAAGCGAGCACCAGACCAGTGGCGAGCACAGCAGGGAACCGTACCATCTGTTCGCAGTATTACATATAATATGATATTGATCAGGTTGTAAAGATACGTCTTGTTACAGCGAACACATTCACACACACAACCTTGGCAACAGCTTGGACAAACTTGTAAGCCCTTGCCAAAACGCCACTGATAGTCAAAATAATGTTTCAATTCATAGAAACTGTTGGCCTGTACATAATCAAGTCTGGAACAGGCAATCCAGTGATTGATATTATGAAAAACAACACATGCCGTAGGGGTACCCTGACACGCCATCAACAAAGTCACCTGCTTGACCACTTGAACCATTAAGGCGCCTATTTCAACCAGATTAGGCTGCTGGGGACCAATTCTAACCCAGAATTCCAGGTGTCACAGGTTAGTTACAAATAACGCTGGACAATATCTTTTTTTTCAACAAGCTTTATTAAATAACATTCTTTCACCTATTACCTCAGTACCAGCTAACTTGTCATTATATGGTTATTGGCTGCCAAAGTAATTGTTCACAATCAATGTGCTGTTAATTTTATTTTTTAAAAACCAGGACAGTCCAGAACTGTTGTACTGCCCTATAAACTTATTGATTTACTGGAGTAAGCCTACTGGTACAAGGTTACATCCATTGGAACCACCCCCAAGTATTGCTGAATACCGCCATTTTGTAGCTGAAGACAGCACTGTATGGCACGAAGGATTGGTCATTTTGTGGCCTCTCAGTTTCATGATTTCACAGCGTTTAAGTGTGAATGTTGTGATTTTTCGAGGTCTTTGGAAAAGTGCATTATCTTCTGGATGTAATTTTGACATTTGACTGATACAAATTAAATGATTTGTTTGTTTGTTGCTTAACGCCACACTCAGCAATATTGCAGCTATATGACAGCGGTATGTGGATAATTGAGTCTGGGCCAGACAATCCAGTGATTGACATCATGAGCATCGATCTATGCAAATGGTGTCGATGACATGCATCAACCAAGACAGCAGGCCTTACCACTCAATCCCGTTAGTTGCCTCTTACGACAAGCATAGTCGCTTTTTACAAGCATGGGTTGCTAAAGACCAATTCTAACCCAGACGACAAATTAAATGAAGCAACAGCACAAGAAGGAATACCAGCTGCACATATGCATGGTTTAAATCACAAAGATCACTGCAGTGTTTGTTTGTCACCTCACTGTGTGTGCAGGTGAGAAACACCCTACGCCATCAACCTCAATGCGGAAAGATTGAGGACAAGGTAATGTTGACGTTCAACCCCCCAAATGCCAAATTTTAACGTCAGATCAAACCAAACCTTCCTCTGAAGGCTATCCGGATCATGAACAGATTCAATCTTTCTGATTTTCATCAAACCCCTCTCTGAAACAATTTTTCTCAGCATCCCCAAAAGACATTGTTCACACTGACAAACTCTTGGTCATGCAACATGTAGAAGAGATGCTCAAATGTTGGTTGACAGAGGTGGGGACGACCATCAGTCAAAGGTTTGTTCACCAGATATTGTCAGGTACAATGTATCAAGTTTTCTTTTCACTTTTGTCATAATACTTTTTTTTGGTTGCTTTTATTATAATTTGTTTCAATGAGAAAATTACAGAACATGTCCCTAATAGTGTTATCTCTCATGTAAAAACGATATACCTTCGTAATGTCTTGTCATTTCATCCAACCATCATTAAGGTCGAGGATGCCAAAATCATTGCCAAATATATCCCATATTGTTCCTATATCAAATGTATCACTGGCTTCACAGAAAGGGGTGGTCGGGTAGCCTAGTGGTTAAAGCATTCGCTCGTCATGCCGAAAACCCAGGTTCGATTCCCGACATGGGTACAATGTGTGAAGCCCATTTCTGGTGTCCCCTGCCATGATATTGCTGGAATATTGCTAAAGGCAGCGTAAAACCATATTTTACTCACTCACTTCACATAGGAAACATTGTCAAAAGGTATAACACAAAAAACATGACTTCTAAGTATGTCCTTCAGGTACTAGCACTTATCATAACCATGACGTCAGCACTATAATAGAAGAAATTTCTAACCCTGGGAGTGATGTGGGTCACTGTTTTGCCAAATTGGATAAACTCTCTTATCGTCTATGTCTACATTGGTATGTATTATTTCAGAAAATGATTAATTCTCTTGTAAGGGCAAGAAAGGATTCCGCATGTGATCATGGTGATATGAGTATTCTCTTCAATGAGCCTCTGGATGCGTGAAGCTGAGCGCTGCTCTTCCCCAGACAGTTCAAGGTGGGATTCTAGAGGATGGGTTCCCGAGGGTCGGGAGATGATTCGTGTTGCGTGATGGAACAGTCACGTGGGTCATTTCTTCTTACCCCGCTTGACCACCTCCCAGCCGTCCTCCACCTCCATGTCCTCCCCATCTGTAACAAGGTCAGTCAGTTAGTTCAGGGAAACCATCCACTATCTGCTGAACAGTCAGTCTCACAGCTTAATGTCAGCAGTGAGTGAGTGATTATGGTTTCACGCCGCACTCAGCAATATTCCAGCTATATGACGACATACTGTAAATAGTCAAGTCTGGACCAGACAATCCAGTGAGTGACATCATGAGCATTGATCCATGCAAATGGGATATGATGACATGCATCAACTAAGTCAGCAAGCCTGACCAACTGTTCCCTTTAGTCGCCTCTTACGACAAACATAGTCGCCTTTTATGGCAAGCATGGGTTGCTGAAGACCTATTCTAACCGGGACCTTCACTTTGGTGAAACTCACAAGCAAGGGTATGTTGATGAGATAGCAAGGACCATACATCTGGGATTCAAACCCATGACCAGCGGATCCGGAAACAACAAAGATAATTGCAATGCCAGAGACCACTAGGACACCAATACTCAAAACTTTTAGTCAGGAGACAAACGTGTTTCAGATTTGTGTTATACAGTAAATCATGGCCTGAAGACCAAGCAAAAGAATACAGTTACATGTTAAACTGTTTGGTCATGAACACAAATTTGAAAACAAAAAAAGTGTTGATAATTTTCCATAAGACGATCTTTGCAATACATGAAGATAAAGTGATAAAGACTGGGTCATGGTATAGTGGACTGTGGCGTAGTATCTCAGTGGGCTAGCACTATAAAACCCTCATTACTCCGGACTAGCACATGTACACACCCACACACACATGCATGCGTGTTGCTACATAAGTGCAATAATCTTGAATGCGACGTCAAACCTCATTTCAGGTGACAAAACATATACTAAGGTGGTATAAACATTGTACATAGGAAACAAGAAACCTGTCACATTTAATTCACAGATAAAATCTGCCCTCTTCACGTCACGTGTCTACACCTACCTGTGTTATTGTGCTGTGAAGGTTGGTGTGAAGGGGCCGACTGAGACACTGCGGCCCTCACAGCATCACCAGCACTGCTGCAGCATGCCATCGCCTCACCATTCTGACAACAGAAGACTGTATTAATACACAAGTCAACAGTTCTGGAGAGATATCTCATTAATACAGTAAATCCATATTTTTCACTTGAGTGAAATAATTTATACCTGTTATAAAGCCTCCATTTCAGAACAAAGTTTTACCCTTTTAGAGCTATACTCTCTTGTGAGCCAGTCTTCTGATGTCCCTACGACTTCATTGACACTACTTTTTTCAGTGTAAAATCAGTAAGAAAATACATACCGGTAATTATAGGCTCTAGTCGGGTTACTTGAGTTAATATAAACAAGCTATATATGTTACAGGAAACAAGTATAATCAGTGATTAAGTCTAATAACTGGAAATTTCAGTGATTATGTCTAATTACTGAAGATTTCAGTAATTAGACATAACCACCGAGTGAATCAGTTATTAGACATAATCACTGAAATTTTCAGTCATTAGACTTAATCACTGATTATACTTGTTTCCTGTAACATATATACTATTGAAAACAAAGTTAAGGACCACCGAAGTCTTTTATATTACTATGATAAATCTGTCATGCCATGACATATTAACTTTAGAAATATAAAAGAATCGGATGTCATGCCATGACATATTAACTATAGTAATATAAAAGAATCGGGAGTCATGCCATGACAGGTGGTCTTTCCCCTTTCTGAGTAGTATATATCATGATATATGAAATACCCTTGACCATCAATGTAATGTATCACCAACCAAAGATGGTTACGCCCCCTGGTGGTACTGACCTCTCCCTCCTCCCCGTCCACCTCCTGGTTGCTGTCCCCCTGGGTGCAGCCCCGGAGGGCGGCCTTGGGCTGGCTGGCTATGCTCTGACGCACCTCGGCCTCCCGCCCCTCCCCACACAGTCGGAAGTACTTGCAGATCATCTGCGCAACCTGATCACACACAAGGGAATTATATACTGTGATTGAAACTAACAGGTGAGTGAGTATTGTTTTATCAAATAATGGTTAATCTTAGGCTAAAAAAAATAATAGTCCTGGTTTTCAGGCACCGCCGGCATCATCATAAAGTTCGCCGCACCTTCCGTTTTTATTTCAATTTTTACAAAAAATATATAAAAAATCCTTAAATATTCCAAGTCCAACTTGTATTCCAGTAATTTACTCATCAAGGAATACATTTATGTAGGATGGCCCTTTCCCAGGTTGATTGTGCACAATTGTTTTATTGATTACACAACTGTTTATTGGTTACTAGTACTAGTTTGTACAAAAAAAAAAAAAAGACACCACCCACCCGCACTATTTTTTCAAAAAACATTGCCTGAGAACCAATTCTTTTATTTTTTTAAGCCTTATGGATGCGACCAGTCCGATAAACTTGGTGTCACAATCCAATAAATATGCAAATGAGATATAATCTACCAGGAACAGCATTCAATAAACTCTATACATAGATATCATACCAGCTTGCACAAGCCTTCATATAATGGCCCAAAAAAGGTCATCTATGTTTCCTAATGCGTAAACAATGCAGCTGCAAGTCATCTGGCACTATATTATGAATAGGACAGTTCACTCAGGTATTGTATTCCTACACTATTCTGAAATTGCTGCAGTGCATGTAGATACGTTTTAAACATGTTGAACCTTGATTATTTTAAGAATGAAATTATATGACAAAGAGATAATTACCTTCATGTGTGTCTGTATCATAGTGAGTGAGTGAGTGAGTGAGTGAGTGAGTTGGGTATAACGCCGCTTTTAACAGTATTCCAGTTATATCACGGCGTGTCAGCTTGATGTGGGAGGAAAGACCGAAGTTATGCAGGTCTCAGACGTTTACCACTTCGGTGAAACCCACGAGCACGGGTATGGTGCTGACAAACCTAGAAACATAATCGGGGCGAACCGGGATTTGAACCCACAATCAAAGGTTTCTAGCGTGCCAAAGGGACTGAACTCTGCACAGCGAATCGCGGCGCCTTAGACGACTGGGCCACCCGTGCCCCCGTCTGTATCATAAATATCATACTTTAGGAATAAAAAGTATGCATCATGATGGCCAATGATATGAGAACACACTTGGCTATTAATCTCTATTTAAATAGCTAATAGTAATACTCCAGCAATATCAAGACCTGGGGTACCAAGAAGAGGCTTCATACATTGTACAACTTTTGGGCCAATACACAGCCCTAAAACTAACAGTCATCACGGTTATCCTTGTCCTATGGGCTACAATTACCTGTGGCAAGCTGTTGTCTTCTATAACCATATCAAACTCAGCATTCATCACGTCTTCCAGGAAGTCCTCCAACTCATAACTTTCTATGTGAGCTGCACACAAACATATAACCTCCGTTAACATTGTTCCACCTTGGTACTTGATTTCGAGGGAGTTTGGCCAAGACCCGAATGAATTAATGTAAAGAATATAGTGCTCAAATTGGCTTTTCTTAAAAGAGATGTTACTCTAGGACAAGCATTGTTTCAGGTCAGGAATGTGTTTGGGAGCATAATGAAAATCTCATAATTAATACGCTTAGTCTCGAAGTGTCAGACAGAAATTGGGAAATTTCTTTTTCATAACTGGCTTGGAGGAAGTAATAAGAGCCCCGTGTCCACTAACTCAGAATAAGAAAATATATGCCAGAAAACGAGAGATTTATCCAGACCTGCTCAGAGGCTGTCAAGCAGCAAGTGTCAGAAAATATTCCGAAAATGGAATTAAACATTTCCCAGTTCATGCAGTCAATGGTCATAACTAACATTTTGGCTTTGTAGAGGTAACATGCACTAACTTGTATTCACTGATAACAGGATCAATATAGAGGAAGTCTTTTTTATGTTTAGCTGAACATCAAACGTGTCAAATGCAGTGGTAAAATTCTATGTTGAAATACCTCAGAAATTTGGAAAAAAAGAACAGAAAATACATCCTAATTTGAACAACTTTTCCCAATTTCCATCATGTGCATGCCAAGGCACTTAGTTTAGAATCCCTAAGTATGATAAAGAAAGGGAATGAAATTGTTATTCAGATTTCACCTAAAGTTTTACATTAAAAACAATCCATTAAATAACAGGAATCAGTAGAAAGAGTTATAAAAGACACACTTCATTAACATCTAATGGCATATCTCTGATTTAAGAACCCATTTTGGCCTCTATTATGAGTGAGTGAGTGAACAGTATACCAGTTATAACACAGAGTGCCCCTTGATGTGGGAGGAAAGTGAGTGAGTGAGTATGGTTTTACGCCGCTTTTAGCAATATTCCAGCAATATCACGGCGGGGGACACCAGAAATGGGCTTCACACAATGTACCCATGTCGGGAATCGAACCCGGGTCTTCGGTGTGACGAGTGAACGCTTTTACCACTAGGCTACCCGACCGACGCGTGGGAGGAAAGACCGAAGCGAACAGGTATTAGATGTTTATGACTTCGGTGATATCCTCGAGCATGGGTATGGTGCTGACAAATCTTGAAACATAATCGGGGTGAATAGGGATTTAAACCCATGATCATAGGTTTCTGGTGTGCCCAAGGGATGCAACTCTGCACAGTGAATTGAGGCACCTTAGATGACTGGGCTACTCGTGTCCCTCGTCTCTATGACTAAACATGCTGAAAAGAAGAAGTGAAATGAGTAATAGGCTGTTTGCGCATCCTGACTGATTAATACCATGTATACAGAAAACGTTAGTTACCATTTTCTTTGAACCATGTTTCTATTGCATAAACCATCCACTCTGCCTTTTCCTGACTGTCAGGCCCGCCAGACCCATGATTCACTGCCAGCTGAAAACAAAAACATTCTGGTATTTACAAAACACTAACACTAAAAAAATGTGTTCTTTGGTTGTTGGTGTAAAATACTGTCCATCAGTTCATGTTTCTCTTAAAATGATTTCTTTGCTATTAATTATACATAATAAGAAAAAGTGGCGTTAAACCCAACTCACTCATTACTCTTATGCCTATAGGGTCACTCTCGATCTGGGTACCAGCGAAATGTATCCAGGGTACAAATCGATATATTAAATTGTACCCAGACTTCGGTAACCATGTCATTTTGTACCAATAGATATGGACCAAAGTCTGGGTACAATTTAATAAATATCAATTTGTACCCATGGTACATTTTAATGGTACCCAGATCGAGAGTGGCCCTATCAGCTACTCTAACACCCTTTAGCTTTCCTGTCAGTGGGTTGTATTATGGTCTCTTGTTGTACCATGTGTACTGATGAAGAACACCTTAACAAAACTTGCTCGTTTCATATGTGAGTTAGGAACCAGTGGTCTTGACTAGTTCTTTGGTAACTCGGTCTGTGAAAATGTAGGTACCAATGACAATAATCATAGCCTGATTTACCATTCATTGTCTTGAACATCTGAGAATATGCTGACACAAATTACCTCCCCTTGGAAAGAAACTTCTGCCAAATAGATAAAATGGACATGGCCTAAAGAAATTGAACAAAACAACAAACTATACACAACTCGGTTTTCTTTGTATATGAAAATACTGACAGTATTTCAAAGATGTAAAATTATTTTTCATGCAATTTATGCTGAGTCCGGTGTTTCTTTTTCACAGGTTAAAAGAATTGTAGGTTGTATTCTACGGGCATTAATACAAACTTCATGACCCAAAAGGGACATTAGCATATTATTATAACCATTTTCTTTATTGTGTAATTGTACCTATTAATCGAATCTGAATGGATACTGTATGTGTTACTCTCTACTTATCATTAGTCGATCACCGGTCGTGAGGACTGATATTGTTATGAGAGGTAATCATTCCTCCGATTGCTACACGTGTGTTTCAAGATATCACGAACTTAGGATACTCACGAAGTTAAGATACCCGACAACTCGGACACGATAACATGCAGCTTGATACAGACTGACATCCATATGTGATTCCGATACTGTGTATATTATCAGACTGTTTACATTCGCTCAGCATGTCAAGAGAATTCAATCTCACCTGAAGTGCGGTCCAGCCATCGAGCACACTTTTCACCGACTGACCGAACAACGTGCTCACATAGGGCGACGCCATCTTGAAATTCGTAGTGCATTATGGGATGAAAACAAAAACGTGAAAGAAAATGTACATCGCGCGCTGAATTCAAATGTTGATTTAGCATCGTTTTTTAGTTTACTATATATTTGCAGATCAAATAAAGCCAAGAACAGCAAGACATACAAAACAAAACATAACTAGATCTACAATACTTTTGAAAATAATGTCTGGAGCATGTTTACAATTTTCAACAGCTATTACACACTATTCTCAAAAAACAAAATTGACTAAAAACAATTAATTTTAGGAGTCAATATCAAATATCAGCTAGGAAAAAACACGTCAAAGAGCTGAGAGACTGACTTTAATAAATAATGGATGAATACGTTTTTCTATAGGCCTATTCGGAAAAAGACAAACAGTGCTTCAAAAAGGAGACAAATAAAACTACGTGAAGAAGTCGGGGAGACAGCTTTCGTAACACTGAGAGCTAAGGTAGGAAAGCCACTGCGCCCCCAGTTTGCATATTGCTTCCAGTTCGTTTGTGAAGTATCTGATTACCGTATTTAGAAAACCGTTTCAATAAATAATCATCTCATTTGACACCAAGTTGTCTAATTCCTGTTTGGCTGTCTCCTGATCTGAAGCCCAACTAAAGAACCCTAGTTTTAACACGCCTACGTACTGATCGAAGTACAACGTGGCGTGGGAGACAATACAGGCACTTTGTCTTTACACACCTACATCCTACACATTTTCAACATACCAACAGCCCAGTACGCTTTAATGACAGACTTATAGCAGACTTTATAACAGCCTTGAGTCCAGCACATATATAATGCAAAAGGCACCCAACGTGACAAAGGGTCAGTTGATTACTGAAGTACGACGTGGCGTGGGAGACAAATACACGCACTGTTATGGGTCTTTACAAACCTCGAAGAAGCCATACATTCATCTTGTCAACAAATGAACTTGTTTGAATTTAATTAGATTGCATGGATGCAACGGAGCAGAAACAATCGCGAATCTGTAGAAACAGAAGAGGATGATCACAGGTATCAGTGTTTAACGTCTTTGTGTGTAAATAATCAACCCCCGACCAGACAATCCAGTGATTTGCATCATGAGCATCAAACACTAACATTTTGGGATCAGTTCGAATATTAACGCCGTGATGTTGTTGGAATATTAAATTGAGGCATAAAACAACAAAGTTATAAAACTATATGCACGACAGAAACATTGAACAATCCCTTAATAGCCGCAAAGAACAGCAGTAATTAGTAGGAACGTGGCACTCGATCTCCATATTAGAAAGAGGCTGTCTGGGTTGGCGGAAAGTGAACATGTTCGGGCCTTGCGAGAAGATTACAAAGTAAAAGTAGTTATCAATGGCACACCCTCGACCATTCACTGTATCATGTCGTCATTATGTTGCGATACAGTTTCTTGGTCTATTATCTACAATAGTTTCAAATAAGAAGTCAAGTTGCCATCTCAATCTCTCACCACTTACTCTGGTTCACCGACTGTATTTCGACATTACGGCTATTTGTTGAGTCGTGTCATTTAAACCGGACACAAAAGGTGTTTGGATGCAAGGTATTTATCCTATTATTATGGAGATAGAACAGGCTGGATAATCGAGGTTGACCACAGATGTAACTGTTGACATTTTTAGAATACATCGACAGGGAAAAGATTAGCATATTTCAATGTGAGTGTGTGAGTATGGTTTTACGCCGCTTTTAGCAATATTCCAGCAATATCACGGCGAGGGACACCAGAAATGGGCTTCACACATTGTACCCATGTAAGCAATCGAACCCGGGTCTTCGGTGTGACAGGGAACGCTTTAACCACTAGGTTACCCGACCACCCCCATTTCAATCCGAAAACTAAATGGTTGAAAAATGTGTGGCAGAAATAGATCTATGCTATTCCGCAATGTGTACTCTGATGGCAATTTTAAGATTGGTGTAAAGTCTGACTCTTGGCCATTTCAAGTTAACATACTATGCATCAAAACATTCGTTTTGTCTACAGAAAACAATATTACAATTTTTAACAATATTATCCTATAAAGACACATTTTTATTGTCTTCGATACTGTCAATTTCATTAAAATCAAATCTAAAACCACAAAGTATGATAACGAACCCATTAGAGCTCACGTGAGATACTCTTTCCTAAAGCGATTGCTCTCGAAACGTTCTTCCCTGCTTGAGAGCATGGAGTTATACGCGCGGGAAATACGATTTCGTCGCGCGGTGTATTCTACTTCCTCAGTGACATGTCACGTGACATGACGTCATAACAATCACACCTCGGAGGCGTGGTTAGTAGTTACGTTCGTCCGAGCTCCGCACGTGTATCATTATTAAAGCTGATATCTAGAAGTACAGATCTGGAATTGGTAAAAGAAGAGTTAGATTTCATCAGTGTGGTGCCAACACAGTGGTATGTATTGTATAGTAAGCCGACAAAACGGTTATTCACATTGTTTAGTTCACAAGACTTTGTTTTGAATATGCATCATAGTTTGGGATAGGTGTGCCATTGAACAACATAACAAATGACAGCAACATAAATTAGTAGCAGTAAAAATTATTGCTGGTGTACCGGCCGGATTAGAACTTTCAGAAGCTGAAACTGGGAAAGTATTGTGTTTTATTCTATAAAAGCAGGTTCTTACTTTAGTAAGTAAAAGCTTAAGAGCTACTTAAGATTTTCATGAAGTTTGAAAACCAATGGAAAATTATTGCACTGTCTGCTTCTTCTTAAAGTCAAGTTGAAGTGTCACACTTATTTTGCACCAAAGTATATATTTCACAGATTTAACCATGGTTGTTGTATCAAAACTTTGGGTCGGTGGTCGCAATGAAAATAAGACCACAATTATAGCTTATTATAAATAGGTTTGGAAGGATGCGAAAATAGATTTCTCAGATTTCATTTGTCACTTTGTGTAACCTGACAAGAACGTTAAACGGAATAAAAAGGAGAGGTCTAGGTTTAGTGATGGCAGTTCCGTAAACGAAGTAAGAAAACATAAAACATCTCACGAAAATTATGTAAAATTGTACGTGCTGAGGTGTGTATCTATATCATTTCAATACCTGTTCCCCAGATGGGTCGGTTACTACATAAGATAGCTACGAGAGCAGGGACACAGGTCCTGTCCCCCATCCCGGAGTCGCCATCCACGTCCCCCACCCCAGTCAGCGGTGAGTGAGTCCATAGACGTGGTCAGACACATACACGTATTATATTTAGCATTTAGTATTAATAGATTTAAATATATCATGTTTGCTATAAATATACTGTTGATTGCATGTATTGATAAAAGAAACATTCTGTACTTTTGACTGTCAATGAAATGTTTCAAAGGCGGATCCAGCATTATAAACAGGGACGGGTCCAAAATATCAAAATCCTCTCTCAGATAAATTTACTCCCTACAACACACTACATTACTACATTTGGTTTTCAAAAGAGAGCGGTAGGGGTGGGGGGTGGTCCCGCCTTTGTGGTTTGAATCAAATATTACAGGATCATATATAACACGGTAGCCAATAACACTATGCACTGCATAGAATATACAAAAACGAAAAAAAACTAAATCTTAATCATTTTTCTCTTATTTCTCAACAAATGTAACATTTTATTCCCTTTAGATGCTGATCATGACACAGGTAGTACAGCAATAACTGACACAGAGACAAGTATGGCACAGCCTGATGTCAGCAGTTCACTGGAAAGTCCTAAAAGCCAAAGAATCAACGTTGAAGAAAGGTATGTCATTTAAACCCGAATGTAACGTGTCAATTGGAAACAAGGGTTTTGGTAACTGCCCACTGTCGCCGCGATAGAAGATAAAATGAATGGGGGTTTCACTGCACTGAGCATCATTGTAGAAATATTGGAGCCAAAAAATGTTTTTTGCACATTTTCACATTTTACATTCGGACTAGGCTAAGCGAACGCAATTTTCTTAGAAAGACAGGAACAGCTTTTGAGGATTTGAATTAAGAAAACAACATAAAACATGCCTCTTATTTTCCTGACTATATAGTGATGTTCTTTTTCCCTGTTGCAGCTTTGTGGAACATCTCATGAGCCTCAACGAGGACTACAGACAGCAGCTGGAGGCCACGAGGAAGGAACTCCGTCTGGAGAGAGAGAAGAACACTAAGATGGAGAAGGATATGAAACACTACCGGGTTGAGTTCAACAATTACAAACTCAGCTGGACCATGGACCAGGCTGAGATCAACGACCTCAAGGCTCGTGTCCAGACACTGCACACCTACCAGAGGCAGATGAGGCGAATGCAGGACACAATTACTCGCCTCGAGAAGGAAAACAACAAATTCAAGGCCCTCAACTTAGATGCTGATGGACACATGAGTGTTAACGAGGAGACAAAGGCAAAATTCGTCCCAAGGGTGCCATCTTCTCCAGTTCAAGGCCACAGGCGAAGACGGCCGTACACAGGCAAAACTAGAGATGAGCAGACGACAGCTCTGCCGCCAATCAAAGACAACAACAAGGTCGTTATGTCTTCCAACCAAACGGCGTTCTCCGAGAAAAGGGGAGGTAACTCTCCTACCCATCTCCCATCTCTGGGGAACATCTGTCCCACCCCACCGGCAGGTCCTCGTGCAGACGCTCCCAGACGACGCAGTAGGATTCCACTTGTTTTCTCCCAGGTCCATGAAACATCGTCTGTCGGCAGTGTACCACGTGACCACCAGGCTAATCAGGAAAGTGGACGGATCTCAAGAGGCTCTGAGAACAGCAGGAGGCGACATGAATAGAGAGGATGGACCCGGTGTGACATGAGTAAAGAGGATGGCGAATAATTTTCTTCAAATTAATTTTGAAATTCAATTATTTGCCAGGTTGTTTTGGGTAGCATCTACATTTGTAATATTTGAAGATGAATGAAATTGATGCCATTTTATATTCGTTCCAACTTTAACACAATCTTTATATAAAAGCTGTAGTTATTGAATAGGTTTTATCCTGTCGTTTTCTCCACCGTCCATTCAACAGTTCGCTCGTGCCACTCCCTCAGATCTTGCCACCACACCAGTTAGGTCACACTGTCTCCCTTCACGCTTCCACCAGCCTCAACACCCTCTGTCGTCTGATCCTCTCGCCCTAAGCAGATCTGTCCGCCTGTACTGTTACTCACCCTCACCAATGCAAGGGTGACTCCTGACTCACGCAGGCTTCTCGACAACCAAGGTCCATCAAGTACCCATGGTCATAGTGCTTAGATTGGAATGCTTTTTGATAAAAGATGTAATATTTTTACTGCTAGGTACAGACCTAGTTTTAGCAAGAGGTATATATCTGAAGATGTCTGGCTACACACCCCAACACCTTTTTAGGTATGGAATAATAACAATATGTGTTAATTGTATGATTGTGATAGGAGTCTCCTTTGTATCACGGTTGATTTTACATGCTATATATTTGTTATATCTTTTTAAATAATCTGTAAAAACGGTGCTTATGTTAATGATTGTTATGTTATATATAGTGTTATATGTTGTAATTTACATACTGTTGAATAAAATATTTTATGGCTGAACAAGACTTTTTTCCATCAATGACACGAACCACTATTACACAGGTCTCTCCAGATGGCCCAAATGAAGATGAGATGATTTACCTTGATATGAAACCTCTCATATTGAAGATCTCAGAAATCCTCCATGGAAGGTCGCGTCAGTCCAACCCCAATGAAAACAACGGATTATTGCATTCGTCATCACTCGCCCTTTCAAACAACAAAAACTCGCAAAAACAACAAAAACTAATCAGAATGTGCATATGACTATAAGTATTTCCTTGAAAGAATCCTTTCTGAACAGTTTTGTTTACATATGGTATATTTGTTGGTGTGTGCAATACAACTGGTAGACCCGTATATTGCGATACGGCCGTCAGCAGTACACGTATTGCAATACAACCCTTGCGTATTGATATTTTCCATTACAGTCACAGAAAAACTAACATATAAATATATAAATCATATCTTCCATCTTGATGCATTTGGGTGGACTAGGTTCCTATCTAAACCATGTACAGCACACGCTTCACGCTGTTTACATCAACACTCCATATTGATGACATCATAAGTAGTCTCGTTTATCCATATTACCCATCTGGCAATCTGAAGTTTGATTATTGAATGAAGAACTTCCATACTTTTAGGGGCTTTTGACATAGGTCATATAGTATAGGGGTTTACTGGTCCGGGTAACACTTGACAATTCATCTTTTAAACTTAGTTTTTGAAAGATTGAAAGCTCTCACTTCCCACACTCTTCCCATGTTCCATCCCTCTTTTCATGCAAACCATGGAAGATCAGATTTGATCGACAGGACTGTGCTTTAATACTGCCATTTCTTGATTCCAGGGCATCAAGTTTCTGTTTTCAACTTGTGTTTTCCTCTTGAAGCTCACTAAGGTTGTCATCATAGTCCTTTGTAAATCCGTCCAGATGTCATTAAGGGATGCAGTCTGTGTTTGTATTGTTTTGGGTGTTACAGCGAGATCATCTAGTGTTGACTGAACTGTCAGGGGTCAAACATGGCCAGAAACATTTTGTGCAGATAATCTAGTCTCACAGGAACTCGCGTCTATAGCATAATATATTAGTACAGAAAAAAATCACACCCCTCTAGACAATGTGTCACACCCGCCCAGCTCGATATGGCTTGAAATATGAATGTCGCTAATTTCAACCTTTTGACACTAGCTACACAAACCATAGGCTACATAATCCTGTTCATCTGTGGTCACCCCACCTCGAATTTATTTTTAAACAACCATCAGATCTCAACCCCAAGCCTCGCTGCCGAGGCAAGCAAGAAAAAGGTGGCCAGATGTTACGGCACTACAGGGGCTTGAACTCAGCAAACTGTGATAGGTGACCACAAGCACCGACCGTCATATTTACAAACAAGTGATGACTTCTGTGACGTCGAATACTTTTAGTCCAGCTTAACTATTTTCAGTTAAAAGAAAGGGCAGGTTTCAGTTTGTTTTCAGTTTGTTTTGTCCCTGAGCATTTTCTTGCTTAATTATGAAGGTGTTAGCTGGTAAAGACCGTTCATCTTAACTGGGGACTGCTTGCTGGTGTGTAACGCGCGATGTGTGTTTAAAGTTGGCGGGACGTCCGCACTTACTGCCTCGGAAGGACAGGCTGCGCAAGACGCCTAGGAAATCCCCAACTATCATCTCCACTGAGACACCAAAATAGTCTGACATGATCGAGTAGTCTCCCTTTGTTCATTGGTCGAAAAGAAGCCCATTCCCGCCCCATACACTAAAAGCTATCTCAGCTGGGCTTTTTTCAATCAGTGTGTTTGCTTGTTTACTGTGTACATGTATGATATGAGTAAGAAATTAACGCGTCCCACGGCAGAGCGATTAAACGCCTCATTTCTATTTTCAGCTTTCTTACTTTTCCAATCAGCTATTGTTTATGGATTGGCTGTATTCTTATAATATACACCTATATCAGGTTGTTCATTTCGTCCAACAATAGCTACATGGTGTTGATCTCCCGGGTCGACATGGACGGAATAACGTGCTCCTTCTGTGCCCCCTGAATATTCAGATTATATGCTTGAATGCCAATGTGTATCTTGTCAGTGTGGGTGGAGAAATGAACACTAAGATGAATGTACTTGTGCATCTGTATGACGGTGGACGTTCATGTAGCAGTGGTGATTATTGATATAAGTATCGTATTTCACATAGATGACATAAAGGGGCGGGGATGTAGCTGAGTGGTTAAGGTCCAGGTTCCATTTCTTGGTGTCTTCCGTCGTTGCAATTTTCGAGACTAGTTGAGTGTGTCAGTGGAGATGATTCTTATTATCAAGTTAAGATATTAAGGGGACATTTGCCCTGAACCGTTGTGTTGCTGTCTTCTAGCATAATTTATTGGAGGAATCTCCCATGGAAAGTTCGAACTCCATACCCATGGTTTAACTGTTATATAGCTTCGAAGCCGGTGTACTAACACTGGATATTTTACAATCATTTTACTGATGAAAGATCGAGAGTTATCTCACTTCGCCGCTGTTTCTCCTGTAATGTAATTTTCAGATATATCTAAATAATGGTATTCGTTTACAGGAATTAAGCTGGTTGAAAAGTAAATACCGCAGTTTAGATACCAATGATCTCGATAAAAGTAATTAATTATTTAGAATGATGATAGAATATAGGTCTTCAGTAACCCATGCTAGCGATTATGCTTGTCGTTCCAGGCGACTAACCGGGTGGTCAGGCTCGATGAAGTGTTTGATGCATGTCATCGTATCCCATTTGCGTGGATCGATGCTCGTGATGTCAATCACTGGATTCTCTGGTCCAGACAATCCAGACCGCCGTCATATAGCTGGACTATTGCTGAAACAAACATGCTTACATGAACGTTCACCTTCATACAGAAGCACAAGTGCATTCATCTAAGTGTTCATTTCTCCATCCACACTGACAAGATACACATTGGCATTCAGGTATATAAGGAGCACCTTATTTCCTTGTGGACCCGGGAGATCAACAGCCTGTACGCTATTGTTGAACGAAATGAACAACCTGATATAGGTATATATTATAAGCATACAGCCCATAATCAATAGCTGATTGGAAAAGTAAGAAAGCTGAAAATAGAAATGAGGCGTTTAATCGTCTCTGTTGTTTCGAACGTGGCCTTCGTCAGTTTAATATGCCTTGACCAGACCCCAAAATACATATACAGACAGCCAACGCTGAATGTCACAAGAAATCATTACGAGCAGGTTATCAAATATACATTACCCTACACTTAAACTGCAGATTGAACAAGCAGCTTTGATAGCTTTTATCTTCCGTGTATGTGACGGGAATTGGCGTCTTGTCTGTCAGTGAACAAAGGGAGACAACCCATGTCAGACTATTTCTCCGAGTGTATTAGTGGAGATGCAAGTTGGGGTTTTCCGGGCGTCTTTAGCAGCCTTTCCCTCCACAGCAATAAGCGCAGACGTCCCGCCGACCTTAAACACACATCGCGCGTTACACACCAGCAAACAGTCCCCAGTTAAAACCAATGGTCATTACCAGCAAACATCCATGACATGTAACTGTAGTCAGTGTAGACGTTTAGCCATGCCGGAAATGGAAGATGGCGCCTCGTTCTGACTTCGTCTCCGTAACGTAGTTACCGTTGTCGTGGCCAACGTCCCTTCTGTTTTGAACAGATTCACTATTGCTATTGCTCCGTATCGCTCTGCATTTCGTTGACTACAGCATCGTTTCAATATCTTCTTCTGACAAGATGTTTACTAGGCTGCATATTCAAGGTATTTAAGAAAGCATTGATTGTATTTGAAAGTGTTTAGTACGTAGATTAGTACTGAAATTGGCCGTAGTTTGACAGCAGTATCGGTGGTGATGACATTGGCCGCCATTTGCAATTGCTTTGATTCAGAAATGGGTGTCTTTTAAATCTCTTGTCTGCCCTGAAATGAGAGCGGCCGGTATATAAATATGACGGACGATGTTGTTCAAACATTATAGATCCAATGTGTGACATTGTTTTACTTTGATATCTATTTCTACGTAAACTACTCTTTCAAACGACGGGCTTGAAATAACATCGGTGACTGAAACACAGGAACACAACAATGAAATACCCATTTCACTCCTACTCACGCCTGCTTATTGTCTCTAATACTCTCTACTCCTAATCCCTCTGTCTGTCTGTCCATACACCCATTCAGGGGCTGTAGTTGAAAGAAGAGCTCACAAGTTTCTGTAGAGATGTGCTGCGTGTAAAATATCGAGGCCCAGATCTATATTTGTTGACTAGAGGCTGGGCGATGTCTTTGCCTCAACTTAGTACAGTGAAACCTCGTTAACCCGAACTCCTTAACTCGATATATTCATTGAACGTTTATTTTAATGTATTTTGAATGTGTTTATTTTTCTTTTCAGCACGGGAAGACATGATCCGGTATCATGTCACTCCTGCTGCGAGTTTATGGCCGTCGCTGGATGAGGAATCCGACTGTGTATGTAGTTTATCTAGGCTACATCTCTCTCAGATTCGGTCGCCGAATAGCTCACCTTTGTTCATTTGTCCATGTCCCCTAACGCACACTATTGACTTTGCCCATTTTCTCTGTGTGTTATTGTGTCCTGTATGATCCCCTTCCTCCAATTACATGTTTCAAACAGTCCATCAGAATGTGAGTCTTAGTTAGAATGAGTAATCTGTGTATCACACTAACTTTCTTTTCCACACTGCTATTTGAAAACCGCCTATATACCTCGCCCACTGAC